CATCCACTTCCCGCGTTTGTCGCGTTCGCCACCCGACACGAGAGAGGAGAGGAGAGAGAGAGAGAGAGAGATTATAAATCTTAACAGGAATTTGATTTCCACAACAAGAAAATATAGGATCCTTTGGCTTGAAGCCTCATGAATCCAGCTACACATTTGGCATACAGCTTTTCATTGATCAGTAGCATCCCAAAAATCCTCCTCTGTTCAACACACTTTTGCTTCATCCACTAGATCCACCAGAAAGAAAGAAGGCCCTGGCTTAGAACAAGAAACATAATCTCATCACAACTATAAGAAGCCATATTTTACCTTAAAAAATTCATGAGATCGGTTAAGTTGGAAAGATAGCATGAACTGGATACCAGTCATTTCATAAGAAAGGTTAGGCTTAACCCTATCTTAGAGATAATGAGCACTTGAGATGAAAACTAGGAAAGATATAAATTGACAGACTTGAGTTTCGGGCACTTGAGTTTCCTATTGTTGGCTAGCATCCTGCCAGCATCAAATGTCAACAAGAAAGGGTTGAGGTGTGTAGTAGCTCCACTCAAGGGCTTCTAACGCTCTTTGTTCAAAGTTTGTAGAACAAAACTGATGATTTTGAGTGAAGGAACAACACACTGCTTAGCAGTCTGCTTGGCAATGGAAAGTTGGGGCAATGCTAACAAACTGTTGGAAACTCAAGTGCTTGCATTGCATACAAACCCAAAATATAAGCACAAAGCATCAGATTGCATTAGATTTTAGTGACATGAGAAGCCTAAAAATGAAGGAATTAGTCTATGCAATAGCTTCAGCCACATATATGAAAAATACAGCCATGAAGCTAGCATAGATTGTGATTGTTAACTAGGTCCTAACGAAGTGAATATAAAGGAATCGCGTGTCTAAGCACTAACAAACAATAACTCGTTTTACCTGGTTATGACCCAACACACAAGCTAGTCGCTAGTCCTTGGCCCCGTAATGCTGAGATTAAACGATGCACTTATGAAGCTTATAACTGGCCCTAAAAACCAATGCAACAGTAATTAGCAATTTGAGTCACAAGATTAAGGCAATCAGCTTTAAATCAAATTTTCATACTTCGTAAGCAAAATCTCAAACTCATTACAGACAACTTATCTAATTATTAATCCCAAATTAACAGTTGAATACCCACAAAAGAGAAAAAAAGCAAAGAAATTTCCTTACATTGCACTTCTCAATATTGGACAATTGCGCCTGTCATGACCACTTCCCTTGCATACATAACATTTCCTTTTCTTTTTCTCCTCCTCCCTTCCAGGTTCCGGTGTGTTGATAGTAGGTAGCCCTTCTTCACATTGTGGATAACACACCACGTATGAGTCAGTTTCTGATGTTTGATTGACATCCTCATTAACGTTACTATGGCTCAAAGTTGCATGCTGTGAGGTGGTCCCGAGGCACTTTTTAGTAGCAATCTCATTGACCAATCTTTGAAGACCATGCATTGTAAATTCATAAGCAGCCATACTTCTTGACCCCATGATCGCAATTTTGGTGAGTTGACGACATAGATGATTATAGCGTACATTTTGGGTCTCTTGAGAATGACTGCATACTTGGTCGCTGTGTTCATCAACAGTATCCACCTTTGTTGCATTCCTTGTCCAACGCTTCATTATGTAATGAGAAGGGGGCTCCATAACATTGCACATATTAAAAACCTTAAGTATATGTGCACAAAGAATGCCAAAAGATTCATACAAGTGGCAGATACAATTTGCATTCATTTCTGAAGCATTGAATGTAACAATATGGGATAACGTTCTATCCTCAAATTCCGTCACCTTAAAGGTAGTAACTGGCCCATCCTCTTCTAGTTTATTTGAAATGGCATTAGAAGATTTTACTAATTCCGTCTGAAATTCTTCAAATATCTCATGGGTGTAAATATTTGCTGCTTGCTTCCCAGCGATAAATGGCGTCCTGAGAACCAGTTTGGACTTGAATGTGTTCACATGTGCCTCCATCTCTTTCTCGGACCGGTTGTCTATTGCTCTTTGGCATTCAGTTATAAACATTTGGAGGCTCGTATGTGACTTCACATATGGACCAAAATATTCATTTATAGCATACCCTCGCCGTTTAGCAGTCATTCCTGAGAAAAAAAGTCTTTCCAAGTACACTCCCACCCATTGAGCACGGCATTTATATAAATTTTTGAGCTAGTAATCCTCCCTAAGTTCATATTTATCGACAAGAGTTGACCGACTGGATTTGTACTCTTTTATTGTCACATTCGCGTCTATGCATTTAACGAAATCTTCCTTAAATTGTGGGTACCCATGGGCCCAACTCCTTTGGGAACTTTCTCGGGAATTGCCATTTACAAAAAAGATGACGAGTTCTTGGGAGTACTTGTGCAATTGCAGCTGCCATTGCTGGATCTTGGTTGGTAATAATTGAGCCTGATTGGCATGCATCCATTGCTTCGAGCCATTGACTAAACAGCCAAACAAAGGAACTCTTTGTTTCATTGCTCAACAATTCACACCCAAAACATATGATATCATTATGATGGTCAAAAAATGGGGCACACTCCGGAGTAATTAATCTTATATGTGGAGTCAAAGATAACCATGTCGCTAAAGTGCTCATATGCTATCCGAAACCTGGCATCAATCCATAAGAAATTGACTATGCGGCCCTCTTTTGTGAAATTAATGTTAAAAAAGAAATACGGATTTTGTGCTTTCTTACTGCTGAAAAACTCTGTTATCCATTCAATGTCTTTTCCTTGAAGTCGCCCTTTCACACTAAGGATCCCATCCTTGCAATCTTGGGAGTCGAAGACATCATTCCTTGATCCACCAACTTGATCTCCATTTCCAGGCATCATACTTGTTTTGAATTTGCTTTTCTCTTCTGCAAGATCAAATGTGTTCCACAAGAAAATGTCCAAAAGGAACAAGAAAAGGAATCATTATTTATAGCAAATAAAGGAGATAAAGAATGAATAAGGTGTGTCAATCTTAGATCATTTGATGTAAAAGAGAGCATAAAAAACAGAAACTCATGTTTAACCAAGGTGTTAGTGAACATACAGATCTTGTTTTAATGTAAATTTCAAAAGGGCATGGTTGTCGATCAATTAACTGTTAGTTTGGAGCTGGCATTACAAGTGATATTACACAAAAAAAAGAAGGGAAATTATCAAGATACCGACAAGAGAAACAATTTAAGCTTTTAGCCATTTGCAACTATTCCAACTCAAGACCATTTGTTTCACATGCGCATTTTGAAATTATATGACCAGACAAGGGTAAAATGTTAAATTGTTCTTCTCTTATGGGAAAATTGATAATTTCCCAGAAACAAGACATTCCATGCACGACCATGATAAAGGGGGATCTCAACAAGTTGATAGAAAGAGAGAGAGATAAATATAAACTAGTAAGAAGCATAAGATAGCATGAGGAATGAAAAGGATGCAGAATTTGATGAGAAACACTTGCAAAGTGGCAGAGTAAGCCATGTGAGGCGCTATATTAATGAATTTCGATGGACAGAAAAAACTAAATAAGGTCTTATTAACTTGACTTGAAATAAAGGAAAAAGAACCAAGAAATCACAAATAACACAAATCAATGACGCCTGATCTTCGTGAAATTATAAAGTCCAACAACAAAAACCAAAAAATAAAAAACCAGACATAAGTTGGAAAGAGGAATACCTGCAAAAACAGATACAAAAAACCAGATATAAGGAATAGCGACAAATGAAGAATAAGCTTAAGGCCCATTATATCAAGATTAACAAGAGCTCACATCATTAAGCAAGATTAACATTAGGAAAGGTAAAATAACACAGAATAAAGGCAATGGAAAATCTATTGAAAATAACAACCTAAGGACTAATCATTGTGAATCTTCTGAACTAGAGTAAATCAAAATAAAAATTAAAAAAGATGAAAAATGAAACAATCTCTGCACATTGAGCTACTACGGAAGGATCGAATGAGGTTGTAAAGGCAAGAGAAAGAGAGAGAGAGAGAGAGAGATCAATTTGAAGATGGGTTAATTTTGCATGTGGGCCTTGGCCATTTCTTCCCTGCGATTGAAATCCCAATACTCTAATCAATTTATCAAAAAAGAAAGGAAGAAGAAATAAAGAATAAAAGTAGATATTTTCTGGCCTTCATCAAACCCCCACAACAGAAACGAGACAAAGCCAAAGTAATGATAGAGAGAGAGGCTATGCTTACCAACAATGTAATCTGTCTGGCAGTGCAGAGAGAGAGATGATGGGCTAACGAAAAAAGATATTAAAGTTTAAAACGGAGGAGAGAGAAAGAGAAACAGAGGGGGTCTGAAGTTTGAACTTCACAGAGAGAGAGAGAGGCGGGAAAGCAGTCTCGTTCAGTGGCGGGAAAGCAGGCATTTTAGGATTTATGATGTGTATAGAGTGCATGGCACAAGGACTAGCCATTCATCACCGATCGTTTTGTTAAGGGACAGTGGATATTACCTTTCATTCAGCTCGCGGATTTTTGGAGGAGAAATGCCTAAAAAAAATGCAAGAAATATATGGGCCTCCGTCCAATCAATTCATGTACGGTAGATTAGAAAGAGTGGACCAGTGCATTACATCGCATGACCCAAACATGTGAAGATACTATTTTCTTGTCTCTTTTTGCCCGCCAAACGTGCATTCTTTCTCTCGCTCTCTTTCTCTCTCTTCAGTTCTCTCTCCTACTCTCCATTTTTCATTCTCATTCCTCTCTCTCTTCAAATCTCTCCTCTCTATCTCTCTCTTCGATTTTCTCTCCAATCCCTGGAATCTCTCTTCATTTCTCGCTCTCTTCAACTCTCTCTCCTCATTTCTCGCTCTATTCAATTCTCTCTCTCAATCAACATCGAGCTTCTTCTTCTGCTGTGAATTGAGAAATCATGGCCCTCTCCAATCCCTTTCTTCTCTCTCCACCAATACAAGCGCTTCCTCTCACTCCATTTACGCTCCATTCCTTGTCCACTGTCGTCCAGAACCAAGCCATTTGTAACTACAGCTTAACACTTTCTGCAAAGAAAAAAGGATTTGGGTTTTGGTCCAGTAGTGACTTATTATTTGGATCACGAGTTGGTTCTCCCAGTAATGTGATTGGAACTAGGAGAACCCTTCGCTTTGGAGCTATCAAAGCTTCGACAGATGGCGAAACTAATACAGTAAGATACTGAAATTTTGATTCAACTGAGACTTTTTCAATAGCACAGGGAAATGTTGCTAATTGGCTTTCCTATTAGGGTTCTAATTCGTTTGTTCTCTTTGAATTTCTTGGAATTTTTATTGAATTTCCCTTGAATCCGACTCTTATTTCCTCTTCACTGAGGTATGTTTTGTTTCTTGAAGGGGGTTAGGGAGAAGACTGTCTCTGTTGTTTTATTGGCAGGGGGTCAAGGGAAGCGAATGGGTGTAAGTCTCAATCTCTTTATTTCAAACTCTTTATTTGAAATATTACTTCGAGAATTCGAGGTTTTCAGTACCTAAGTAAAAGCAGAGGAGAAACACTGGATAAGAACAATGTGATCATTCTGAAAGTTTATAAATAAATGGCGTATTTGTGGATATTTGGTGTGGAAAATAATTGAGCTTCTTTGTGATAAATTTGGTTTGATAATTGATGAATCTAGCAATTTGAGGTATGGAATTGAATAGCTGATTCAACAACAATTGGTGATCAACCATCCGATGTCGTTTTCCTTTTTATGATGGCGATGCCATTGTTTCTTGACTGTTGTTTTTCTTTGTGAGTTCTCTTTTAATTTTGAACTGGAAGCTAGGAAAGCTTGAAAGGTGTGCTTATTTTTACTTTTTTTATTTTATGTTGGATCAGGAATCAGTCCCCTGACGATTCAGGGTCCAATTTTCCATTTTTTTTTAATCCTGGTTCCTTCTATAGCAATTGCGTAATGCTTTAGGAATCAATCAGTGCTTCTTGGATTGTACTTGACATTCGGCTGGTTTGTGTGAAAATACTGGTTCAATTGGTGCTACTCCCTGCTCGTCCTTCTGATAATTCATAAGTAAGGTGCACATGTGCAGTACTTTATGTTGCTTGTGTGTATCCAGTGTTGTTATTGTAATTCTGTATATCTATGATATAGGTGAACATGCCGAAACAGTATCTACCGCTTTTGGGACAACCAATTGCTCTGTATAGGTAGCTGACTTATATTTTATGTTTTCAAATTGGTCTTTTAATACAAATATTAATGCATGCATTGATATACATGATTCCTGTATGAAATCCATTATTTCTTTAGTGCAGTTTCTACACTTTCTCTCGTCTCCTTGAAGTGAAGGAAATTGTAGTAGTCTGTGATCCATCCTACGAGGACATATTTGAAGGTTCGGAAATTTCTCGATCTCTTGACTAACTTAGCCTCAGACATACGTCTTCCCTTTACTCTTTCCAAATTTCCCTTCAAATCTGATGCTGCTGAAAGTTACCCCATTTTACTGGGCTGTAATGGAAATGGATTATGAAATTAGATGCAGCAATTATTGGAAGAGGGATGCTTGTGTCTTCTGCCATCATGAAAAGTCAATCAAAGGAGCTCTCGAAACTATTGTGGCTGTTTGTTTCTTGCTGTCTTGCATGAAACATGTGGATAGTTGTGTATTCATTATCTAGTGTTAACAACCAGCAATTCTTAATGTTAAAATAAATGCTATTAAGCACTCATGAACTGGATCCACAAGATCTAAGAAGCACTTTCTTGCAAGAACAAGGTTAGGAGTGGTGATCACTTGGGGCCTTCGTGTAAAACATGTGAGTACCAATCCAAAGGAAAATTAAGTCTCAATGTTTATCAATGTTTGATATGTTTATTCCCATTTCATATGACAAACGAAAGCATCAAGATGTATTATGTATATCCTGCCAAAGGCTCCATCTGATTCTTTAATGTCAAGTTGCAGGTTTTCATGGCCTACTGCCGCAATATGTACTTTAAAGGAAGTTTTTCTTGCAAAACAAAAAATAATCTTGGTTTTCTCTCGTGGATTATTCTTTCAAAAAGAAACCTACTCTACGAAGGTGGCTATTTTTAAAGCTCCAACACCTATTTTGTGACTGTCAGCTTCTTTCTTTTCTTTTTCATTGTTATTCACCCTATTATATAGAAGTATATGTTACAATCTGCACTACATTGTATGTGAGCACAAGATTCACAAAATATCAGGCCTTACAAAAAAAAGGCCATGCGAGGATATCTTGAATCCACTAAAGAATAGGCTTAGAGATTGATATAAACAGAGCTGCAGATGTGCTGATTTCCTAGGAGTAATTAACGTTGAGGCTTCCGCTTAGGGCGCTTTATTTGGCCCAATTGTCCACCATGCAGTTGGTCTCGAGCACCTGTGGTCGAAGGAGATGTTCAACAGGCTACTCTGTTGGAAAATTTTGATCAACACTTTTTCAGGCCTCCATGGGCATGAGCAACATCTATTTTCCCTATTAAAGTCAGCTTCCTTCTCTGCTCCGACAAGTGGTTCTCCTTCATTGTTCTCTCTTGTATAAAGGCTAATTTAGGCCAGAAGCTGTTCTACTATCATGTTGAGCGAGAGAGAAATGGATGAAAGTTAAATCTAATAAACTTGCACATTTATCTAGTATATCACAAGGACTGATACAATACCCTTAATACTCTTGAACTTGAATATCCTTACAATCCCAAACATGTCATGGTATTACTATTTGGATTGAATGCCAATTTGATAGATGACTGTTGTTAGTTTGGTCCTACTTAAACTGGTTTCACCAAATCATAGAACATTGTAAAACCTGTGCTTAATTGATATTTGTGCTTGTACCAAAATAGATGGAAATTTCTCTGCAACTTTTTCAAAATGTTGTAGAGATATGACAGCTCAGTCATCTTGTTTTTCAGACACTACTCAAGAGATATGTGTTGACCTTAAATTTGCACTGCCTGGAAAGGAGAGACAAGATTCAGTGTTCAATGGGCTCCAGGTTTGTGTAAAGCTTAGTGCACTTCATTTTCTCTGTCATTATTCATATTCTTAATATGTTCTTATTTATGGCACATTGGATGACCTTTGAGTTTTCTAATGTTATCAAGTATCTCCCTGGACTTCTGCTGAGTTCCATAAAAATTTTAGCCACCTTGATGTTTTTGAAATTTTTGTTCGAATTGCTTATGCCTGCATGGTGTGTCATATACTTCTTTTTGGTAACTAAATTGTTGACAGATTGACATTGCTCGGGTAATTGGTGCCACTAGTCATTTGATTAATTTTGGCTCCTAAAAAACTTGAGTAACTATTATCTGAAGGAATGCATGAAGTTCATTTGCAGGTTGTAATACTGAAAGCCATCTGCCCCTTATGAACTCGGAGGTCAACGGGTATAGTGGGGTTGAACAAAACTTTAGAAGAGGATGAGGTGGATCGAGATGGGTTAGAGTTAGTTCTTGCCAGGATTTATGGAGTGTTGGAGAGCCACAAGGTGCTTTAGGTTCATGGTCCTGGTGTTTATTGCTCGAAATTAGGTGGCTGAGTTGGTGGTCTTTAACGAGATAGAGGCGGATGGTTGGTGCATGTATTTCAGTGTAGCTGAGATGAGGATGTTGAGATAGATGAATGGTAAGATTGGGAAGGATAGAATTAGGAACGAGTACATTCGAGGGAATTTACGGTAGCTCCAATAGGCGATAAAATGAGGGAAAGTAGATTTAGATATTCTGGTCATGTGCAGCCTCTACCTAGAACAATACCTGTTGGGAGGGGTGATTTGGTTCAACTGGAAGGCACTAAAAGGACAAGGAGAATGCCTTAAAGGACATAGATGGAAGTAGTGAGAAAAGATAATGTGACTTATGATCTGAGTGAGGGGATGGCCCTTGATAATACAAAACGACGTAACAAGATTCATGTAGCTGACCCCAAATAGTTGGGAGGGTTCATATGGTGAGGATGATCTTAGGAAGCTTTGATAAGGACTAGAGGCATCAATTCGCACCAAGTGCAATGATTGGGGAATCAGCCTCAAATTTTTGGTTAAATTTTATTTTTCAATTTAAATTCATTTGATTGAATTTTTACTAAATTAATTGTAATTGCTTTATAATTAGTACTTATTTTTTCAATTTTGTATGTACAATATCATTCGATGTTATACCAATTTTTCATATTATATGAAATTATCAGCAAATAACATCAATCTGTCATCATTTTCAATCGTTTTTTTTTTTTGAGAAAGGTTAACATTGTATTACTGGGTAAGAAGTGTACAAGAGAGAGGAAGCCAAGTTCACCCCCTAAGGGGTGGACTGGAAAAATATAGTCAGCGCATCCTTTACAAAAAGGCTCATTTTCAATCTTTTACATGCTTTTTATATTGTTTATCATTTTTTCATTTATACTAGTTTTTATCTTTTCAGGGATTTCTTCAGAATTTTCGAGGATTTCCCCTTTTATGGGGCTTTTTCAGCCACTTTCCATGGTTCGGGCTAGAGTCAGAGGAGTCGGCTTGGACTCGCTCAAGTACCCGGCTTTGCAAGGGCCCAAGTACTCGCTTGAGCAGTGGAAGTGAACACTGCTTTGTAAGAAACTTAAAACCCTTTAGGATTTTTAAGTCCTAACCTAAATAGAATTACAAAACCTATCAAAAATAGGGTTGGCCAGGCGCTGGCTTCTGAAAACTTAGCACATGGGCCACAAAATGTGGCCTTAGGGCCGGGCCGCCCTTGCGGGCCTTGACAGGACCATGGCCATCTTTTTTCCTTTTTTTTATGTTTTTTTCCTTTTTTCACTTTGAATCTATTAGTCTCAGCTGGGCCTGGCTCAACCCAAACAAGTCCATGCCAATAGGGACCAGAGCCGGGCTACGACCTGGACTAGCCCTGCTGGCTGCCAGCCCCCACCAAAAACTAGGGTTGGCAATTGGCCAGATGCCCTAGCCCTGAAAAATTAGGTCAGGGCCACAAAATGTGGCCCGAGGATTTTTCCTTTTTTTTTTCTCTTTTCACTTTGAATCTATTATGCCCAGTTCACCTAGCCCAACCCAAAAAGGGCTAGGGCCTCTTAGGCCATGTCCAGCCCTGGGCCAGCCCTGTAGGGACCAAGCCAAGCTAGTATCATGGGCCAGACGAGTTGCCAGGCATAAGCAAAAACCCTTTCTTTATGTGCCCACCTCACATGTTAAACTATGTAGGAGCCACACCCCCTAGACTTGTGTCAGAGGTGGTTATGGTGGATAAGAAAAGGGGTACCGTGATTCTTTAGAATGGTTATAAAGGTCTGAGGACTTCAAGGTTGATTATTTGAGGAATTGGAAGTGATTTGAAGGGAAGAGATGGAATTTGTTTATTATGAAATGTGTAATAACTGGCATCTAGTGTTATTGTATGCCTTAATTTTGACATTATTGCAGAATGTTTTTCTTGACCAGTTGAGTTTGGAAGGAAGGTGAGAGTTTCGAATTTAGGATAGTTCAACATGCCTATTGAAGCCAATGAGGAGATGAAACCACAAAAGTTGAGACTCATTAAGGTTTAAGGATTTAGTGGATCATCATTCGGCCTCTGATCACCGAGGGGCACTCAATGGATGCTGTCAAATGGGCTAGTAAGATGTTCTTAGTATTGGAAGTGTTGTCACTTTCTGAAGAACCGGAAATCATGTCTGCAGTTGTTATCTTCCATTTTGTGGACTGTGGCAATAACTTGAGCTGATTTGTTAGCTGAGTAGGGGGCCCTTGGTTCTGGGATAAAATTTTGGAACTCATCCTGGATTTGTACTAATGGGCCTACATGTGTCAATATTCCGATCTGACTTCTACATCCACTTCATGTCTTAGTATTAGTCCAATGCACGACTGTTCTCTCTTTATATCATAATCATGGTTGTTGTGATAGGCTTGTGTAAGGTATTTATAATCTTCCTCCTCAAAAATTGATACCTTAAACATATAATGAAATGTTAGATTTGTGTTGTGTTTATGATACCAATATTTGGGAATTGACATGATGTGATGGAAAGAGTGGGACATACCTGAATGAGCCATGGCGCAATAGTAACCCCAGTCTCCTCGCTGTTCATTTTAATGGATGATGGTGTCCCACTGGACTATGATTTTTCTATAGGCTACTGGATCGCGGTATACTTCTATCGCAAAATCATGGTTTGGGATGTACTGAACTTCAGCAGCTTTTTCAAAATCATATACATGAATATTGACTTGAATGAGAATAATTTGTAGATTGCAAACATCTTAGTCTAATGTAGATGTGATTTTCATGCCTGCGCATCGCATCTGTCTTTGTAATTTAGAAAGGTGTGTTTATGCATAGTGTGTAGTTTATGTGCAACTTAAGTCGTGTGTCTTACAGTTGATTTTAAAGACTTGATTGCCTTTGACTTTCTACAGGAAATTGATAGAAGTTCGGAGCTTGTATGCATCCATGATTCGGCAAGGCCTCTTGTATCCTCGGGAGATGTCAAAAAGGTTTGACATCTAGATGCTATATAGTATATACATTGGCTTTGAGGTTCAAGATATTGGATATGTAATAAATTTAGCCCTGTTATTTATATTGGAAAATATGAAAACTCTGAAGAAATTGGGACAGAGCTGTTTAGCCATTATAGAACTTAGTTATCCTTTGCATTAGAATGAATTAGCATTGTCCAGGTGAACTTAGTTATCCTTTGCATTAGAATGAATTAGCATTGTCCAGGTGAACTTAGTTATCCTTTGCATTAGAATGAATTAGCATTGTCCAGGTCCCATATGAAGCACTCTTTTTCTTTAGCAAATAACCAAAATCATTGTTCAAATTCTTCGACTGAAAAGAGAGAGAGAGAGAGAGAGAGAGAGAGAGAGAGAGAGAGAGAGAGAGAGAGAGAGAGAGAGAGAGAGGAGGAGGA